AATATTTGAAACAATGATCTGACTAATTTGTATTAATAATAAATTCATAAAACAAAGTTAAATAGTGTGTTGAATATAGTAAAGTTATCAATAATTCAATTTAATTCTCAAATTATCTTCAACTAACTTACAAATTATGAAACTTACTAAGTAGCAATTTAATTTTTAAAAGTATAATTTTAGTTTTACTTTAAACACTAAAGTTTTGATTTTCCTTCCTTTATAAAGTTTGATGTTATGTTAGCTAACATTATTTAGCTACTAATTTAGTTACATGTATCTAAATTAATCAACTATTATATTAACAAATTTTCTAATTTTTAAATTCATATTTTATTTAAAAATTCAAAAATTCATCAAAAATAACATTTAATTTAAAAAAATGTATTTTATTTTAAAATGCATTAATCTTCAATAGAAAAATTAATATAATTTTACTAATAAGTAAAATACGTAGATACATTGTTATTAGTACATAACATACTAAAAGAGAGTAAGCGAGAAAAGATTGTCTGAATTCTTTAATTAAAATTTTATTATTATTATTTTTTAAATAAATAAGTACATATTTATAATTTAACTTTAAGAACTAAAAAAGTATATACTATTTTTCAAAAAAAATAATAATAATAATAATTAAATTTTAATGAATGAAATAGACATATACTTTTTTATAATTATGTTACAATAAAATTAAGAGATGGTAACCTCTAAAGACATTTTCAGTACTCTGATATGATTTTGTAGGAATGTATCAGTTATATTACTGATACATTCCTGAAACATGAAATAACAAAAGTAACAAATGCTCCCAAGTAGATAACATACCAATTTAAACAGTTAACTGAAATTAACCTAAATCTGAAAATAATTTAAAATTTACATTAAGTAATATTATTTCATTACTTGAGGGCATCTTGAGTATTCTTAAAATGCACTTTGCAGTGAATTAAAGGATCAGCAGAGTACAAAATAATGAGGCATCTATAATTTTCAGTAGGAGATCACTCATTAATTAATTGATTATCTGTAATAATTTCAGAAGCAAGTGTAATTCCATAATAAGTGAAAATTAGGAATGATTACAAAAAATCCATAACAATTGATATCTTTGAAATTGCATATTTAATCTATATTTTTTTTATTTTTGTTTAATTTGTAATAATTTGCACATTAAGCACAAGTGGATTTTACATGATTGAATATTTACATATAATAATTCAAATAAAATAAAAGTATATTCAAAAATCTTTTACTTGCAATCTGAGTTAATATGTTTTTACTGTAACTATATTATTATTACAGAGGAAAAAGCATATTGAAACTTACCAAACTGAAGACCATGGTAATATCTTTCTAAAAGATCTTTGGCTAAATGTAATCTCTGATGAGGGAGAAACTGATCGTGTCCTCCAAGCCAATGTTTTAACTGAATATAACATAAATGTCGTTGCATTTGCCGAGACTATAAATAAACAATTTTAATTAATTGTTAATTTTTTGCTTTTATTTTATAAAATATAGTATTGTAACATTATCTTGTAGTATATAATACTATCCCCATTTTTGAATCACCACCCACATTTTCTGGTGTTAATAATTCTCTAGTCATTAGTGCAACGTCATGTATACTTTATTACAGAAATCAACTGATAACAAAACTACACTCACTGCCAAAAGTTAAGCACGGAGCAGAAAATGTTCATGTCCGGAAAGCAATCTGCATTTGACAGGCTGCAATTCACTGCAGAGGTAGGTGGAAGCATGCAAATATGTTACGTTACTATCAATCAAGGTTACGTGTCACGAAATATGCAAAACAGGCAGTCGTATAAGAAGCCAGCCTTCTGAAGTGTGAGAGGAGTTGCATGTAAGTGCCGAGAAAAAGTGTGGAGAACTGTTGTACAATTACTGTGCATGACTGACGTGTTTCTATGACTTCCAGAAGACGAATAACAGACAGTGAGCGCTGGCAGTGTGTGGGATGTCTTGAAACAGGACAATCAATCACAGATGTTGCTCTTTTCTTCAGCGTTCATCATTCCGTCATTTCACGGTTATGAAAACAATTCCAAACAAGCCAAACAGTTGTCCGAAGACCTGTGGCCGGTCACCCAAGAGTTACGACCCCTGCAGAAGATCGCTATATTGCTCTTGTAGCCAAGCGGAATCGAAGAGCAACCTCTACACGTGTGA